AAATGTTCATAATAAGCACATTTATAGAAACAGAAGGTAGATAAATGTGTTGCCAGGCGCTGGGGGAGGGGGATTTCCATTTGGGATGATGAAAAAGTTGTGGAACTAGATAGTGGTGATAGTTACACAACATTGTGAATGTCCTAAATGCTAGTGAATTGTACGCTTTTAAAAAGTTAATTTCATGCTATGTCAATTTTACCTCAATTTAAAAAGAGAGGACCTAGACCATGGGAAGAGTCTTTAAACTGACTGCTTATCCCACATTCCCTCCAAGCCTCAGCTGCTCTGATGCCAAGATTCTCGTGGCATCAGAGCTCACCAGCCTGGCTCTAAATCTACGAAGTGGGGTCGATATTTCTGCAGGCTAAAAGTTGGCCCTCAGGAGCTAAAGTGTGCTTATTCAGTAAGCATGTGGCCCCTTTGCTGAGCTATGGAGGCATGTTCTGGACATAAATTGTTTGAAATGTGGCCATTGATAGCAGCATCTCTCTTTGGTGTGTCCTAGCAGGAAGAGATCACAGACAGGATGCCCCTCTAGAGTGTTCTGAACTAATCAGGTGTCTCTGGAATCTTCTCCCACCTACACAGCAGTTGAATTTCTCGAGCAGGGAAATTTTCTGCGTGGTCTGAAGCTTGTTGCCATTTTATTTAGCCTACTGTTGGAGCACAGAGAGAGGTAAGGTCACCTCTGGCCTGAGCTTCAAAGTTCATCCCTCAAGCCTTCTAAGGCCCAGTACCTAATTTTGTTTTAATTTTATATTCTGTTTCATAAGAGGACTCCAGATTATATAAGCTTCAGTCCCAAAACTAGAGACCCAAACACCTTAGTACAGAGAAGAAAGCTCTGATTAACCAGCAACTGGTTTTTTTTTTTCTTCTTCTCTTTATTCTTTCCAGCTCTACTGAGGTATAACTGACAAATTAAAAATGTGTAATATTTAAGGTGGACAATGTGATGATTTGATATACTATATATTGTGAAATGATTACCACAATCAAGTTAGTCAATGCATCCATCCATAACTTCATCTAGTTCTGTTTGTTTCTGAATTCATAGAACTTTTTTAAAATCATAGAAACAGTAGAAGAGTAGTTACTGAGAGTTGCAATGGGTGGGGTGTGAAATGGGGAGATGTCAGTCAGTGGGTGCAAATTCTCAGTTATAGGATGCATAAATTTGGGCAATCTAATGTACAGCACTGCGGCTATATTTAATAATACTGTATTGCATATTTGAAATTTACTGTAAGGGCAGATCTTAAATGTTCTCATAGCGACTATTTTTCTATTTGCCCCATTTAAACTACTCTAGTTGGTGTCCTGGCAATGACGAGGACTGTCACCTTGTTTCCTGACCTTGCCACTGCAATCCAAATGGGGTCGGTTTTTATCATGCCAGGAAAGGAGGGGGAGGTTGCGTGGGTCCAGCAGGTGTGTCTCCTGACTGCCCCTTCCTGGCAGTCTGTCACTGTGTGTTCCCCAGGAGGCCCTGGACCAAAGGCCTTTTCATCTCAGTACCCCAATTTCTAACCTCATAAGGTTACGCTGAAGATGAAAGGAATTGATGTAGTTAAAAGGGCTGAAGCAGGGGCTTGGTAACTGGTTGCTCTTGTTATGTCCCCTGCTTGTAGAGGAAGTTGGTATTGGTATAGTCTCTCTCTCTCTCTCTCTCTCTCTTTCTCTAGCTCTAGCCCTCCTTCAACAATTTCCCTATCATCTGAATGCCATCTTGGCCCATTTCCTCCAAGCCCCACTTCTGCTTAAGGACAGGGCTCTGGAGGTTGACAAACCCAAGTTCACTCCCTGGTTCTACCACTTTTTAGCCAGCCACATGCCCTTAAGCAAGTGACATTCCCTCTCTTCAACTGGGCACCCTCATCTGTACAATGAGGGTGGGGGTGATCATATTAATACTAACTTCCTTGAGTCACTGGGAGCATTAAGGTAAAGCCTAAAATGCATTTGGCACTGTGCCTGTCACTTAGTAAGTATTCCAAAGTCATTCTTGAAGTCTACTTATAAATCAGGTCTCCCTTACTAAAAACAAAAGGAAATGGAGAAAGGGAAGAAAGGAGAAAGACGGGAATAAGGAAGGAAGAGAGGGAGGGAGGGAGGAAGGAAGGAAGACAGGCAGGCAAGACTCTAATCTTTGCTCCTTGTTCTCTCTAGCCACTCACACTCAAGTTCCAGCCCCCACCAATTTGGAGATGATTCTCTGATAAACCTCTAAACTACAGACAACTCTGTTCTTCATTTCTAAGATGAGGATGATAATGGGAATATCTTTCTCATAGAGTTGTAAAGATAACTATGTGAATGCATACAAAGTGCTTAGTACCACAATAGTCATTTGTGTCTTGTGATTCCAGTAGTTTTGGGCAGAGGATTGTGTGCCCTGGTCAGAGTGCCCGCAGGCAAGGTTGCCACTCATCTGATGGGGCCAATCCAACAGACATGGAGCCCAGAAACAGGCTTCCATGTTCAATCCCATGTCCTGCTCTTGGGAAGGCACTCCCACTCCAAAACACAAAACCACTGGGTTTATCTGGGCCACCCTGATGAAAGTCACACTCCCCTGAACAAACATCCTCACCACAAGGGCACCTGGATCATCCTGCTCTGTGAAGTACTGAAAGAGTGAGGCAGAAAATGGAGTGACTGCTTCCAGAAATGGAATTACCTCAAGTCATATCAATTCTCTTGGGAAGAGCCCTTTGGGTTTGTATAGTTCTTTAAGGTCTGAGGGACAGTGGAGAGGCAGGTCCCAAGGAGTGCTAGTGTAGAAGTAACATACTATGGCAGCCTGGCATGGGTCAGATCATAAGGGGAGCCAGCCAGGGCGTGGAGGCAGGACTAGCAGGGCCTGGCAGTAAGAAGAGATATTGCTACTGCATTCACACAGTCCCAATCAGAAGTCTTAGAGATTATCTGGAGGGAGAGCTGTGGCTACCCCATATAGTATGTGATTTCCACACAGCCCAAACTACCCTAATTAATAATGACCCAGAACCTGATTATTTCTAGCTCTCAGATTAGCAGTGGCTCCTTATTGCCCAAGCTTGGTTCTGCCAGGTGTCCTGTCCCTAAAATGCACCAGTAGCCCCTCTAAAAACCCACTTGGCTCATCAGGGCCCAGTCCAGGGCCCTCCCCACCTATCCCATTCCTAATCCCATCAGCATTAGCAAGAAGCCTGCCACTGCCTCAGGGACCTGGCATCAGGAGACTCAGCCAAGATGGTCGCACCTGTGAGAGGATCTACAGGTAGCCATGTCCGGGTAGCCAGAGACCAGGCGGCAATGGGGGGGAGCATAAGTGTCCCCTGTCCAATATGCCCTCATCAGCCAAATCTGGGGCCTCAGTTTGGGCTTTGTGGTGTGAAGGTACCACCACCCAAATGGGCCTGGAGCCACCAGCGTGGCTGCCCTCCTTCTCCCTGGGTGGCCCTGGAGGTGAGTCTACACTTGCAGCATTCCTGGGTGGTCCTTCTGTGCATGGGCTCTAGGTGGAGGTGTGGAAAGCTGAGGACAGGGTCAGGCACAGTCCAGGGCAGCCTAGAGATATTTACATCATGATGATGGGATTTGACAGCCCACTTGCCTGTGCGGTATCTGGACCCCACCAGCTCGCAGAGCATTTGGGGGTTACTGCTTGAGAGTGTTTTCCACTGGTCTTGTCACTCCCTAGGTGAAGGAAAGTCTGGCTTTTGTAGGAACTGCCCGGGTCCCTGGTGGAGTATTTCCTTTCTTACCTCTGAATTATTCTGCCTCTTTAGAGCATTGTAGAAAAGGGGTGTTTTTTCGGTTCATTGGCCACATGGCATGGCTGCATCCTGGTGACATTTTCCCAGCATCACATGGTTGGAGACTGCAATGAGGAGGCTCCACACAATTCATAGCCTTCAGCCAGCCCCCTTGCTGAAGTGCTGCATGGGACAGAGAAGGCCAAACCAATTGGAGAGGGACTCGATGGAAGCCACACATGGAGTCTTTGTTTTGTGGTCCAGTACTTACTGTGGTTGCCCTGCTCCCATTGACCTGAACCATCCACCTCCCAAGAAAGGGAAGCTTCCTGTTCTTGGATTTGGCACTAGGAACCACCCTCAGTGGCTTAAACAGATTTATTTTAACTATGAGGTAGTGCACTGGATGAACTAGACTATAGGAGATGCCAGCTCTGTAGCCATCATTTCACAATGCAGCCGTACCTAAGAGCCTAGGACAGGCCAGACCTGGTGGTTGGGGCAGGGTTGGGCCACAGCTGGAGGACTGAAAGTGGGATCTCACCCTCAGTTACAGAGGCACTCCCTGATGGCCAGGCAACACTCCTGTGGGGGGCTTTGTCATCGGAAAATAGGAGTCCATGATCTCTAGAAGGTTGGAAGCACCATGGTGAGATAGGATGTGTGTCCAAGAGTTAAACTGGTTTGGAGCTCTCTTTTAACACAATCATCACCACCCCTTCCTTTAGTCTATGCTGGACTTTGACCATAAAATCCAAACTTGAAATTGGGATCCCTGCAGCAACTGGTGAGGCACCTAGGAGAGGGTTGGTTTGGGTCCCATATGACTGACATACAGCAGAACAAATATTGGCTTGGGAACCAAACCAACCCTCTCTTAGGCTTGTTAAGGCCCCATTCAGGATAGTTGCCTCGAGGTGGTTGGAGAGCTGGCAGCCTTTCTGGTGACTGGTGACTTGGTAGTACTCTCTAATAGAATATGTCAATAAGCACAGCTCATTTGACCAGAATTGTAGGCCACCTTTCTTGATCCAACAAGCGCAGACCTGCTACTCTCAGGATTCACATTGCTAGTCTCCCGGATCCCACAGTCTATGTTCAAGTAATTCCCTATTTGAATGTCATGGATGTATTTGGGGAGGCTCGTAATTTGATTCAAGTAACAGTCTGATCTGTGCCTCTCACTGAGCTGGTGCAGATAATACTTTCTTTAAGATTGTGTGCAAGTAGCTCTCCTCAGCCTACTCTCACCCCCAGGGAAAGAAGCCCTCGTGGATGGAGGAAGAAGATTTATCTTTTCTCTACAAGAGCAGCCCAGGAAGAAAGCACCAGGTAAGCATAAGCTTACCAGAGCTGGGACCCATTCACTTTACAGTGGGGAAACTGAGGCCCCGAGTGTGAAAGGGACCTGCAAGAGGTCACACCACAAGGTCCTTTAGAGGCAAAGTCCAGGGAGAAGTGAGAAGGTTGGGCTTAAATGACCTCTGCCCTGTGGCCCTATTGGCCTCCAACCTCGGTTCTGCCTCCACTTCTCCCTTTGCCTATGTGATTTTGGGCTTGTTAGCCAAATTCAGGCAAAACACAGATTAAGCTTGTGAACCTGGGTCCAGCAGAAACGGGGTCATCTGGATTGGGACAGGGCCCTCTCCTTTGACCTTCAGCTTCTATTACAGCTCCCTCAGGCAGCACCTGCTTCCTCTATAGGTCAGCCTCACCAAATCCATCCAGATGTTTCTCTTCTCCCCACAGTAATCATCTCTATCCCACTAATGACAGAACCTGGGAATGTGTTTGGAGAAGACTGGGTGAGGGTTTCTTCCTGTGAAAACAGACTATAGGCCTCACCAGGCTTAACATGAGTGAGTGGGAGCAGCCTGTCTTGAAGGGCCCAGCAGTTCTGACAGTCTAGGAGTTAGAGGCTAGCTCTCAAGAAATGCTTGTTCAATGGCAGAATACTTTGATTCTTCTCAGGAGATGGTACAATACAAATTCTGAGCTCATTAAATTCATATATATCTATAGGTTGAGGATCATTCTTAGAGCTGTCAGTTCTTCCAACTAGCATGCTTACACTACAGAAAAGGTGAAAGTAGTTCTAGAACACTGCCCACCCAGTTCTGCTCATCTCTGCCTTTGTCAGCGCTCTTCCAGCCACGCCAGGCTGCTGCTCAGATAGTTCTGGTAGAAGCCTGTTGAAGCCCCAGCCCTCAGGTCAGGGTGGCTGAAGGCTGACGACTGTGGCAGCCTTCAGAGTGGCAGGTGGTGGCAAGCAGCAGGAGGCAGGAGCTTCCAGGCTCAGCCACCAAGGCAGCATCGCTGGCTGTCAGTTCAGTGCTGTCAGGACTAAGCTGCTTGCCTCTCCCTACTTCCACCCCATCCCCCAATCCTAGTGAATGCATCCTTATTTGTAAGAAAGCAACAGAAGCCCAATGCGAGGACACAGGGCCTTGAGAATGACATCAGTAGTGATTACTGCTCCCCAAGTGCTCTCCTCAGTGAGTACAATGGAACCTTTCACTGATGCTGTGAGGCACACATGGTAGGCCAAGTACCCATTTTACAGAAGAAGAAATTGAGCCTCAGGGAGGGGAGTGGCTTGCCCACAGCCATACAACAAACGGAGAAGCTAGGACTTAACCGCCAGTCTTCTGATGCGCATTCCAGGGCCCCTTCCTCCACCCCAGCCTGCATCTGCCTGCATGGAGTGCTGGCTCAGGGCAAATCAAGGACACCAATAAATCCCCGATTTGTAGGTTGAGGTTCTTGCTCCAAACCACCCATTTTCAGAGATTTGCTCCTGAGATGTAACTGACTCCTCTTGAAGCCAAGCAGCATTAGCATTCAGGGTTCCCTGCCGTTCCCAACCACCCTGCTATTCTCCAGAGCCTCATGTCTTGCAATTTTGGAAATGCTCAAAATCCTGTTTGTTCTACAGAAAGGTCAGTTTCAGTTTGCTGGAATATTCTGCTGAAAATAAACATGTAAATAACACATCCCCAAATACAGGCATTGATACTATACACATGGATATTCATCTGATCCCATTTGCAAATGCAAACATATTCGTTCTCTCTTTCTCTCTCCCTTGCTTTCACTCTCTCTCTTTCTCCCCACCCCCCATCTCTTTGTCTCTTCAAACACATTCCTGATACATTGTTTTCTTATCTATTCTACAGCTACCTCCATCATGCCCCACAACATCTTCATTACTTTCTTCTGAGATAGTCTACTGGGGACCATCCTTGTCCTCAGAGGGCTTGAAGTCTAATTTAGTTGGCCAACATCAGGTGCCTCAAAATTCACAGGGGGAAAATGTAACAATATTGAATAAAGTTGTTCATGGAGTATGGATGTAAGAGAAGAGACTAGGAAGACCGACTAGCAAATTGGCCTGAGCTGAACTGGTGAGGTGCTAGTGAAGAAACAGCAGACTAAATAAGCCACAGGCGATTTTCACCTTTTTGACAATTTTGCCCAGGGCCTACATGCCCAGTGCCCTCTGGAGGGAAAATGAGTCTCCCTGAGTTTCTCTTTCCTGGCTACCTTTGACCTCTTATCTTCCTGCCCAATAGGAAGAGTGCATACCCTTTGCTGGCCTTTTTATTGGTGTCCATGTTAAACCTCCAGCTACATTGTTCAAAATTAAGCATTTATAACAGCCTGCCAGACTTCTTTGGATAAGTTATATTCTTTACTCTGTTTATGCTCATTTTATGGACATGGACTGTATTCTTATAATCTCTACCTTCTCTAAGAAATTTTTCCCCTTTTTTTGTCATTCTGGACTAGAAATATAGAAAGGGAAGAGTTGCCGTATGTCATTGTTCAGACAGAATCAGAAATAATGTTGACTTCAGAGCTGAACTTGTCTCTATCAGAAGGGAAACCTTTGTTTTCTCATTATTTAGGGGGTGGGGAGGCCATCACATGCCTTGAAATGCATTTTAATGAATGTTTATAAGGTCATGGGGATCACATTGGTGGCTTTGTCTGCTGGATTCTGAAATGGGACTCTGCAGGCATTTATGTATGGAGAGAAAGGAATTCGTTTCTAAAAGATACCGGGGCACTGTCACTCACTCCCTCCCCCTTCCTCGCCACCAAAGGCAGGGCCTATGAGGGCTCTAGCTGGGAGTGGGGACATCTGGAGTCCAGTGTCCTTATCCCTTAATCAATTGTCTGAAAACAAATCATATCCCATACTGTTTTCTATAAGAAGAGAAGCTTGAGATATGCTCTGTAGAAATCCTGCCAGTGTCTACTGATAGTCACAGGGAGAGGCCTGAAGGAAGTAGGAGCTGTGGCATAGCTAGGACTAATACCCTGCTGTCATCAAGACCACAGAGACTGGAAAAAAGCACATGGGTGAAGCAGGGAGATTCATTTAGAAAGAGCTGGGAGCTTGGTTGGGGACCATCCGCCCCCAACCTGGATGCTGGGAGGAGAGGTTATTCCAGAGCAGTGAGCTATCTCCTGCCCTTGATCTAAAATGGTGGCTGTGGGATTTAGTCAGAAACACCCAGTCCGGGCAGGCAAAACCTCAGCGGCATCAGCCACAGGCACAGGTGACCCAGTGAAGGCACGAGCGTGGCACTGGGCACAGGGGAAAGTCCAGCCAACTTCTCGCAGTTGTGATGAGTAACAGATCATGGGACTGCGAAAGAGGAGACACGAAAGCAAGCCTTTATCTAGGGGCAAAATTAACTGGATAATAGATTTCCACGCCTCACTGATGTCTGGTGAAAGCAGATGCTATTACAGCAAGGCTGAGCACTTCCGTGTAAACACAGCCGCCTCTCCTCGGCCTTGTTTAGGGTTGGCTGGTGTTCTTGCTGTTCAGCCAGGTACTTCAGGCTCACCGTTGAAAGCTCATTCCATGAAATTCAAAACATGGAGCCGCATGGCCTCTGACAAAGTGGAGTCTCATTGAAGTGCATTGAAAAATGAAAGCTCAGCCGGGCGCGGTGGCTCAAGCCTGTAATCCCAGCACTTTGGGAGGCTGAGATGGGCGGATCACGAGGTCAGGAGATCGAGACCATCCTGGCTAGCACAGTGAAACCCCGTCTCTACTAAAAAATACAAAAAATTAGCCGGGCGAGATGGCGGGCGCCTGTAGTCCCAGCTACTCGGGAGGCTGAGGCAGGAGAATGGCGGGAACCCGGGAGGCGGAGCTTGCAGTGAGCTGAGATCCGGCCACTGCACTCCAGCCCGGGCGACAGAGCGAGACTCCGTCTCAAAAAAAAAAAGAAAAATGAAAGCTCAGAAAAGGCTTGCAGCCTGCCACTCTGCCAAAACAGCAGCCTCAGTCGGCAACCTCAACCCCATCCCTGAGAAAAGCCAGGTGAGCCTGCCCCCTTTATTAGGCATCCTCACGAAACATTCAGTGAGTGTACATGCTAGCAGCTGTCCAGCCACAGACTTGGCATAGCAAAAGTGACATCCGCTCCAGCAGTGGCGGCCTGCTGGGATCTACTTTGTTATTGAGTAGTCAGTTGGTTTCTAGAATTGGAATTGATCAGGGACCATTTGCTTGGGATGCAGTTGATGGGTGCTGGAAAAGGTGTGTGTACACAGGCTGTCATGTAGGAGAGGTGCAGCCTCCTTTCCTTTGCCGGTGGCCCCAGCTGGTACCTTTAGTGTCTGGTGGTCATGCCCTGCCTCCTCCATCCCTGCACCTTACTCCCAGAGGTTAAGGGTGACCAACAATTAAGTGAAAGCTCTGAGAGCCCATAGAAGCTGCCAGCAAATTTCAGAGGCTCATCTGGCAGGGATGCCAGACCATTGCTCCTCACAGCCCCTGCCCTCCCCTCCTTTCCCCAACCCCCAACCCCTCCTTGGCCTGCCTGGCTCTGCATTGCTTCACCATTGTTACAACTGTCTTGCAGTTCGAGACATCATGAACAGCACATTGGGACTGACTGTTGCCAGCTCAGACTCTCTGCGGGGGATCCTTATGTCAAACCCACACGCAATCATCCCTGATTGATCTATTTCATACATTTCTATTTTTAACCTATTGGATCTCTTTGGATTCTTTGGGAGGATATAGAAGAAACACAATTTCAGTTTGGGACACAGTGGCTTGTTTGTAGATTGCTCCATAATGGATTGAGTAAATGGCTGAGTTCCCTGTGTGTTGGGTCATTTATGTTCCATTGTCCATTGATTCGTTCAACCGCCATTTACTGAGCACCTGCTGTGGGCCAAACAGTTAGTGAGCTGCTCCATGGGCCAGCTCAGGGACACTATGGGTGTTGTGCCCAGTCAGGCTCCTGGGAAAGTGGGCACTGAATGACTGCATGGGCCTCAGACCTCTTATTGTACCTGCTCTACCCCTCTCCAACCCATTCCTTCCTGACCCATGGTATTCAGGCCTCAGATGAGTTTGGTGACAGAGCTGTCCCTTGAAGTGCCCTTGTTCAGATTGTGGGCATCTCAAAAGAAAAGTCAAAGAAGTGTGCAAGTCCTCTCACTCAAGTTGTCAAGCCCCTTCTGTGGGGGCGATGCAGTGTCCTACCACCAACATGGCGAAGGCAGTGGGTCTGGAGGCAGTTGAGTGGTGGTGGAGGGGCCCAGCATCTGACCTGGGCTTCGTTGCCCTCTGGCTGAGCAACTCTGGGAAGGCCTGCCCCTCTCTGGGTCTCAGAGACCTCCCTGTCTTTAAGAAGGGAATTGGACTCCCAGAACCCTTCCATACCTGCCCTTTAAAATGCCAGGTACCAGTTAGTGAGGAGCTATTAGGTGTCATACAATGTGCCCTGTTTCACTTAATAGAGCACCTTCATGAGAAAAGAAATGTAATTACACTCATTTTACACATAAAGAAACTGGGCTCTGAGAGGTTCAGTGGCAAGGCCAAGATCAGAGCCCTAGGCCACGCTGCCTCCAACCTTGCTCTGGGCCAGTGGTTTTCTGTTGAGAATCAGTCATGGAGCTGTTGGAAAAACTCCCGATGCCTGGGCCACACCCTTGATGAAGCTGTCAGTTTGTGGTGGGAGGGCCCAGGAATGTGGATGTTTCTAAGTGATTCTGATGTGCAGCAAGGCCTGAGACATACAGCCCTGGGGATCCACTTTGATGTTCACTTGGCCATGACAGTCATGCCCCCCATCGTGCTGGCAAGTGACCCCATGCATGCCTTGAGCTCCTAGTGGGCTACAAGCTCATCAAACCAGAAGAGCCAAACTTAAGGTGACATCAGAGGATGAGTACTGTATGTCCTAGTGAAACTTCCAAAGCTGAAAAAGAGTTATTTTGTAGGGGGGAAAAAAGCTTTAAAAGAATTCTACCTGTTCACTTATCGGCATTCAGGTGGTTTCCAGATCCCTCTCTTCCTTTCCTTATTTTGATCATTCCTGCACATACTCCTTTGCCCCCACTTCCTTTCCCGGTTACCTGCTAACATACAGGTCATGATCATTAACACAACGCGATGGATAACTGTATGAAGCCATGAAGAGTAGGAAGTCTCACATTGCTAGTGAGTTTGCAGGCTGTGCTTCTATAAAGGGTGGGCAGCTCCCCTGAGGTTCAGATCCCAGATTGGGACCTTTTCTCATTGTTTGATATCTCCCCAACCTGAGGATGCATCTTCAGAGGAGAATTTCTTATTTAGATAACTTTATACCTTTTTAAATTTTTGGATTACGAGTCCTTCTCGTTAAAGACAAACAAGCAGAAGTGAAGAGAATAGAAAGGGAATTGCCAGTCATCCCAAATAAATGACCACTCCAAATTGTTGGGTATAGGTCCTTCCAAATTATTTTTGTGTACACATAGCAGTGTGTTTGTGTGTGTGTGTGTGTGTGTGTGTGTGTGTAAAAATAAATGGAACAACGAATACGATGCCTACAATGACTGTTCTGAAACTTGTGCTTTCCCCAAAACAGTATTTTAAACAGCTCCCCAAGAAAACACATCCAGATCTACTTCTTTCCTGTAAGGGCTCTGTTGTATTCTATTTTACCACTGCAGCCTGATGCATTTAACCAAGACAAGAAGGCAACCTAAACGTTCAAGTCTATACTATGGTATTCCTTTGTTAAAATGTATGTGTCTGTAGATAGGTAAGAATTAAAACTATTTAGCTACTTCTAGTTTTCTCTCCAATGCCTGCCTTTGGCCGCATGGTTCATTTAGTAACTTCTGCATAGTTTCATTGAATTCTCCTTGAAGTGGGCAGATTACCCTTTGCATAATGTTCTATCCCGTTTTAGTATACAGACAACATAATGCCTTATTTGAAATGTAATTAGACAGTTTAAATGAAACATAGTAATGAAGAAATAAGCACTATGGTTCCAAAGACAGGCTGTATTTTATAGTTTTCACAACTATAAGTCTTTAAACTGAGAGGTCTGTTTTATCATGCACGTTTCCTGTTCATTAGCTTTAATGTGCCAAGCCTTTATAAAAATTCCTCTCTCTCTCTCTCTCTCTCTCTCTGTGTGTGTGTGTGTGTGTGTGTGTGTGTCTCACCTCTCTTCCCTTCTCCTTTCCTCTTCTCTTCTCTTCCATTCACAGGGAACTGTTAAGAGGAGACAAGAAGAAGACCACTTCCAGTTTCCAGACATGGCTGATGGGGGCTACCCTAATAAAATTAAGAGGCCTTGCCTTGAAGATGTCACCCTTGCAATGGGCCCAGGCGCCCATCCTGGTACTGCCTGTGCAGAGCTGCAGGTCCCTCCATTGACAATGAATCCTAGCCCTGCGGCTATGGGAGTGGCTGGCCAGTCGTTACTGCTCGAGAATAACCCTATGAATGGCAACATCATGGGCTCACCATTTGTGGTACCACAGACTACAGAAGTGGGACTGAAAGGGCCTGCTGTTCCTTACTATGAGAAAATCAACAGCGTGCCGGCTGTAGACCAGGAGCTTCAAGAGCTGCTAGAGGAGCTCACCAAAATTCAAGACCCTTCTCCGAACGAGCTAGATCTTGAGAAGATACTGGGGACGAAGCCAGAAGAGCCACTGGTTTTAGATCATCCTCAGGCAACCCTAAGCACAACTCCCAAGCCTTCGGTTCAGATGTCACACTTGGAGAGCCTGGCTTCCAGCAAGGAGTTTGCTTCTAGTTGCAGCCACGTTACTGGCATGTCACTTCAGATCCCGTCCTCCACAGGGATCAGCTATTCGATTCCTTCCACCAGTAAGCAGATAGTGTCACCGAGTTCTTCAATGGCACAGTCCAAGAGCCAGGTCCAGGCTATGCTCCCTGTTGCTCTGCCCCCCTTACCAGTGCCTCAGTGGCATCACGCCCACCAGCTGAAGGCACTGGCAGCCAGCAAGCAGGGGTCTGCTACGAAGCAGCAAGGGCCCACCCCCAGTTGGTCTGGTCTGCCTCCTCCAGGACTCTCTCCACCTTACCGCCTGGTGCCATCACCACACCCACCACCACCACCACTGCCGCCACCACCCCCACCATTCAGCCCCCAGAGCCTCATGGTGTCCTGCATGTCGTCCAATACTTTGTCGGGCAGCACTCTCCGAGGCTCTCCCAATGCCTTACTGTCAAGCATGACGTCCAGCAGCAATGCTGCCCTGGGGCCCACCATGCCCTATGCTCCTGAGAAGCTCCCCAGCCCTGCTCTCACTCAACAGCCGCAGTTCGGCCCTCAGAGCTCCCTTCTTGCCAACCTCGTGTCCTCTACCATCAAAACCCCTCAAGGACACCTGATGTCTGCTCTGCCCGCCAGCAACCCTGGGCCTTCCCCACCCTATCGCCCGGAGAAGCTCTCCAGCCCAGGCTTGCCACAGCAGTCCTTCACCCCACAGTGCTCCCTGATCCGAAGCCTCACTCCCACCAGTAATCTTCTAAGCCAGCAGCAGCAGCAGCAGCAACAGCAACAGCAGCAGCAGCAGCAGCAAGCAAATGCGATCTTTAAGCCCATGAACAGCAACTCATCCAAAACCCTGAGCATGATCATGCAGCAGGGGATGGCAAGCTCCAGCCCAGGAGCCACAGAGCCATTTACTTTTGGCAACACCAAGCCCTTGTCCCATTTTGTTTCTGAGCCGGGTCCCCAGAAGATGCCCTCCATGCCTGCCACCTCTAGGCAGCCTTCCCTGCTCCACTACCTGCAGCAGCCGACACCAACACAGGCCTCTTCAGCCACTGCCTCCTCCACAGCCACTGCCACCTTGCAGCTGCAGCAGCAGCAGCAGCAGCAACCTGACCATTCATCATTCCTTCTGCAGCAGATGATGCAGCAACCCCAGCGTTTTCAGCGATCAGTGGCCTCAGATTCCACGCCTGCTCTGCCCAGACAGGTAAAACAATCTCATATCTGGCTGTGTTCTTTGGTTTTGGAAATAACAACTGTGTTTCATGCTGCCAATATCTGGCTCTGGTGGGTAAATGCAGGCTATAGTTCTCTCTGAGAGTGGAAATGATTCTGAAAAAGTCTACTGAAGTCAGCTAATCCTGTGTGGTTAAAAGCACAGTGTTAATAAGGCCAAGGTTATGGTTTCAGTGCCTGTTCAGGTCACGTAACTTCCCTGGAAGGAAAGCTGCACCCACAATGTGCTCCCGGTGGAAGGAGCCAGGTGGGACAAGTCCGAATACAGAAATGCCTTCCCTGCACTGGGCCATGTAGAAAGACTAGTGAATCCTTCTTAAGATGTAAGGAAATTGCACTGAAGCATTTAAATCTTATCCCTGCTGGCAGAATGATGAACACTAAGCCTTCTAGAAATGCCACAGCAAACTTTTGCTGAGCAACCTCAGCATGCCGTTTGTCACTGTGCTGGACACTCAGGCAGGTCGTGAAAGGAAAAAGACAGGTATTTGTAAGGTAGTCACTCTTATCATCTCCATTTTACAAATGAAGAAACTGAGGCTCAGAGAGTTGAAAGACTTGCCCAGAGTCACATAGTTCGCAAGGGACAGAGCAGGAACTTGAAGCCAGGTAGTCTCACTCCAGAGCCTGTGCTCTTCTTGAATTTACTTTTGACTTCTGACCCTCCATCATCTCCTCCAGGCTTTTCAATCATGAAATGCAGCTGACTCCACCTGGGTTGTGTCTATTACAGTTCCCAGTTTTCATTGCTGTGACCCCTGCCTGTATTAGTTATCTGTGGCTGCATAACAAATTACCCCAAGCACCAGCTTCAAACCTTATGCATACGTTACCCCACATCCTGATTTCTGGGTGTTAGGAATCCTGGCATGGTTTCACTGAGTCTTCTGACTGAGTATCTCCTAAGGCTGCAGTCATCTCAAGGCTCAATGGGGAAAGATCTGCTTCCAAGCCCACTCACGTGGTTGCTGGCAGGAAGCAGTTCCTTGCAGGTTGTTGGACTGAGGCCTCGGTTTCTCATGAGCTATTGGCCAGAGGCCTCCCTCGGTTCCTTGCCACATGGCCTCTTCACAGAGCATCTCACATCATGGCAGCTGGCTTCATCTGAGTGAGCATGAGAGAGTGTGCCAGTGAAGCAGGGTAATGGGGGGAGAAGCAGGAGGGATAGTGCCAGCACGTCAGAAGTCACAGTCTCTATGATCTAGTCTGGAAAGTAACATCCCACCACTTTTGCTGTATTCTATTCATTAGATGTAAGCCAGAGGAGATTGCATGAGGGTGTAAATACCAGGAGGCAGGGCTCAGTGGGGCCAGGTCATATGTGTGCCTACACAGAATACTCAGTCGCCATCTACCATCCCTCCTTCCCATTCCTCTCATCCTTGCCCAAGTTCAGGTCCTCTTGATTCTTTATCTGAACTCGTACAGTTGACCCTTAACTGGTCTCTCCCAATAAACCATCCATTGCTCTATGAGTCGTCTTGCTAAAACAGTGACCTGATCATGTTTTACACTTGCTCAGATGTCCCCAGAGGCCCATAAGCTGGCCCCACCAGCCTCCTGGGCCCTTCAGCATCCATCAGGCCCTGCCTTGCACTTTGTTTCTATTACCCAGAACTGCCTGCAGCACTTGGTCCACGCTATCTGGTCTCAGCCTTTACTCCAGGGCCGTTCCATGGGCCTGGTCATCCCTTCCCACATTTTCTCTCCTATCCAACACCTGCAGCTCCTTAGGGCTCAGGCACCATCCCCTCCAGGAAGCTTTTCCGTGACTGTCCTCAGTACTTCCATTTCCCACTGTGCCTCCCTCTTCTGGAGAATGATCAAGGAGGAGATATCATAAAGTGCTTGGCCAGAGACCTGGCCCAAGGGAAGCACCTGTCAGGGGCTGACCTCTTATTCAAGAGCTCTGCGGCAACCCCTAGAGTATAGAGGTTGTGTCTTTTCCAACCAGGTTTCCTGGAGCATAACCATGCAGAGTGCTTGACACCAGAGAGTTGGTCGTTTGATAGACCATACGGCAAGCAGAGCTCCCATGGGGGTGGCCGGGGAAGCGGTGTGGAAACAGGCAAAGCACATAGGACACAGCAGGCTACCTGGGGCTCGGGCCCTGGTCTGCAGTTCAGGAGCACTTTGGTTTGATTTTATTATAGGGCTGTTGCCATCTGTTTGCATGGACTTCTGCAGCTAGCTCGGTGAAGCCCCAGCATCAACACGGGAACTCTTTCACTAGCAGGCAAGATCCACAGCCTGGAGACGTGTCACCATCTAACATTGTGAGCCTTTCTGTTTTGTTTTGTCTTCAATTGGGTACATTTTTTGTAGACTGATTGTGTTGTCCCAGAGCTGGATCAGCTGGCTCAGAGGGAGAATTCTCAATGATTGGGGTCATGCAAATCATACTCAACCAATTACCTAGGTGGGGTTGGAGAAAGTGTTGAGAAGAAAGACCAAGCAGTCAAGCTCTCTGGGGCTAGGAGCACAATAAAGGGGGCAAGCAACCTTTGCCAGCAGAGACAAGAAGCTGGGTCCCCAAATGGGAAATGCTATTGCCACCAAGAGCTGCCTTTCCAGCCTGTGCTGGCTTGTGCCCAGGGGCCAGGGCATGGGACCTGGTGCTTCACCTGCCTCCTCTCATTTTAATCCTCAGAGGCAGGGGCTGTCACCATTCTCTTGGGAGTTGGGGGAAAAGGCACAGAGAAGTGACCAAAGTTGCCCACAGTCACACAGCAAGTTGGGGCCAGAGCAGGCAATCTGGCTACAGAGCGCACACTCATACTCCCATGCATGGGGCACTGCCTCTGGAGACTTGTGTTTCCACTGTCACCTCTTAACTGCTTCCTCCTCTACAAATGAAGGTGATGATAGGTTGTCTGAGGATTAAGTGTGTTAATACATCTAAAGCACTTTGAACAGGGCCTGGCATAAAGTATGCACTGACAAGGGGTTTGCTGTCATGATGACTCTACCTCCTGACCCTGTGCTCCCAGATCTGTTTCATGGCACTAAGATGTGGTTCTAAAAACCAGTAGCTGTGGCAGGACAGACACAAGCCATGCTCTCTCCAGACCCTGTACCCACCATGAGATTGATAGGAGTTGTGCAGCCTCTGAGCCTTGTGGGCTCCTTTTGCTGTAGGCCCTGACCCTCCTGGACAACTCCCAGCCTGATGGGAAAGGGAAAAGGGCCAAGGGCCATCCCTGCCTTGCAGACTGGGGATCTCACTTTGCTCTTTCTTGAACTCTCCGGCACTCTCACTCTACTCCTTTCCCTAGCACTCTGTTCTCTACCTGGTATTCTTCCAGGCCTCCAAGCTGGGGGTCTCAACAATCCTTCTGTTTCTTCTTATGGCCTCTCCCCATTAACTCTAAGACCTAAGAACTCAGCCCTGGTCATTCTTCCAGGGGAGAGAAAAAAAATAAAGAAAAAAGCGAGTGTTTGAGGCAAGAGCTGGGACCGCTGCAGGACAGATGGTGGCCTCAGTGGTGGGGAAGAACATGTTTCTCACTTCCAGCAGGCTATGCAAACTTCCCAAGTTTTACTGATGCTCAAGCTGAGCCTCAGGAACACTAATTACCTATTATATGGCATTTACTAACCTGTTGCATTTGGCATGGATGATAATGGTTACCATGGAAAAACTGGACATTCATTTGAATCTGGATCTTTGAGGTTTTGTGCGGGGGGTGGGGACTTTTTTGGTTTTTGTCTGTTTGTTTGTTTCTTTACAGGCAGGGTCTCACTCTATTGCCCAGTCTGGTCTCAGACTCCTGGGCTCAAGTGATCCCCCCACCTCAGCCTCCCAAAGCACTGGGATTACAAGCATGAACCACCGCATCTGGCCTAGATCTTATTTTTCTAAAGGAGTTATTTCTAAATGTGAGATGAGACACAAACACTTGAGTAAGCTGAAAAGCCAAATCCAGCCTTCTGTATAGGAGCTCATTTTTATGTACAGACCAGCATCTCTCTACTTGGGGGATTTTGCTTTATCAGTTGAGTGAACTATTCAATTTCAAAGCACCATTCACGTCCACGTAAGGTAAAAGGCAATGCCACATGACTTTGGGGCAGCTGTTTAGCATGGGAGGTTGAGCAAGCAAGGGCACTGGAGGCAGACAGAACTGAAGTTCAAATCTGGCTACAGATGTTGACTGATTCAGGTCCCATGAGCAATGTTACTCAACCCCTGAGCCTCAGCTGAAAATGGGGAAAGGAATAGTCCCCTTCACATAGGGCATTAGGAAGGCAAAGGAGATGCTAACTTGAAACTGCTTAGAATGGTGCCCAGCACACACTACAGGCTCAGCCAGGGCTAGTGCAGCCTTGTGGGCTTGGACCTGAAACCTCTGGGGCCTGATGAATTTCCAAATTCAGGACATTTGGGACTTTGGGAAGGTAATGTGGTACAAATACCAAATGTCACACAACCCTCCAGTGTAATCTGAAGCAGCATTTCATTACTTTTGCAAAGAAAAATGAATATTTAAGGAAGTCCAGAGTCAACTTTTGCCCCCAACTTTTATGTGCCCCACCCAACTTTTATGTGCCCCCACATAAAATTTGGCATCAAATTTACAAAAGTAAAATTGGCTTTCAGAGCTTCTTGGACTTGAAATTACCAGATACAGGATGTGGACCTGGAATTATTAAGGGAGGGATCTTTAACTCTTTATGGAGTTGCAACACCCAGCGCTGGTTTGTGAGATTTTAATGACCCCAAATTCCCCACCCTCCCTCCAGGCTGGGTGATAGATCTTGATGTTTAATCAGACTGAGGCAAAATGAATTTTGTTTGCATCATCTGATGTCCCTTCTCCCTGAAGATTACTGGAGATACCTTGGTGTATTGCAAAAATCAGGGTTAGGACTTACTTCGGTTTCACTATTCACGACTGCAGAACAGATCTTACATTTACTCAAAGACAAAGACAAGTCTGTCAAGGAGATGGGAGTTGAACTGTGGAAGAGTGGGGATAGCAAGAGGCAGCCTCTGGCCGGAGTGCCCTCAGTGCACGTGCATTTGAGTCCCACTCAGATCTGCAGAGCTGGGAGTGCGGTTTCATGGGGAGGAGGGATGTGGATGGAGGCCAGTTGGAATAAGAACAAAAAAAAAGCCTGGAATCTGATCCTTGAGGCAGGCTGTGCAGCACAGGGGGAAGAGGGCAGCTGTGGAGAAATAGACCAAGGAGGCACATGATGTTGTTTTGACAAATATGGAGAGGGTAGAGAAGGGGGAATCAAACCTGTCTTAGAGAAGGCTGGATTAAGCCCCTACTGGGTCTGATATGCTTTCTATCTTAAGGATAAGCTTTAACTTAGGCAGTCGTGAATACTGGGCAATTGCAGAGGCAGTAAACTCGCCATCTTCCCTTTCTGAGGGGTTGGGCCTATGAAGAGGATCCGGGCAGCTCCATCTAAAGTGGGGCCTTTGGGAAGCCCCCCACTGTCCCCACCTGTGGCCTCTCTCACCCCTGGTAGACTGAGCCCTCCGAAGTGCAGTACTTCCAGCACCCAGGGCCTGAAGATAGACGGCACAGGGCGGGGAACATGGGGGCCTTACCCTGGGGCCTTGGCAGGGGACAGGCCCTGGGGCTGGGCTCAAGGCCAAGTTTAAGAAAGCTTAGACTTTGGATCACTTGGGTCCAAACCCCAGTTCTGCCACCTTTTCCATGGGGCAAGCGATTTATCCTCTCCATGCTTTGGTCTGTAAAATGGAAATAACTAGTATATCTATCTCATGGGGCTGCTGTGAGGATTAAATGAGATGAGGTGACAGCGCTTGGTATAGGGCCTGGTACACAATTATGCTCCATTGATATTAGCTGTCACTTTCAGGAAAGTTCCTGAAACTCAGAACACCAGTAACCCAATGGAATGAGTTTAGTCAGCCTCGGCTCAGCATCCAGGCTCCTCTCTGACCTCCAGAGGTGGACGGTGACTTGGAGAGAAAGGGCAGGGGGAGTTCAGTCCCTCTGGGGCTGCATGCTCACGGACAGCTCCAGAGTAGGGGCATTAAGGAAGACATTTGCCAGGTGGCTGAGGAGCAGCCAAGGCAGCAGACACAGGTTGGTGACTCCAGGAGGAAGCAGAGCCGCCAAGTCAGGCTGTGGTTTCCTGAGTGCCCCTGACCGTGGGTAGGGGAGAATATTGTCTTCTCTTCCCTCTAAGCACAGCCAGCTGAACTTCTAGGAGTCACGTGGATGCTGAATAACAAATGCAACCACAGGTCGACTTTAGGTGGGCAGAGAGGAGGGGGAAGGAGGAGCTAAGTTCCACTTGCAGCCAGCGTGGATCTGACCTCAGCTGCTTGCAACAGGCTCAGGGGTGCCTGACATTTCAAGACTCAGGCAGATGGCTTACTGTCAATGCACAGCGACAATGAACAGGGCAGAGAGCGGGTACATGAGTGGCCAGGAAGGAACGCTGGTCCTGCATAGTCATGGTGCACAGGTATCCTGAGGGGATACCTCCCCTCTCTCCTCTCCTTTCCGTCCTTCTCCACCACTCACTCTCACTCCCAAAGCCTCCAAAAAGAATCTTTGCAGAAACCCAAGATTCCTATTGGTTTGAACTTCCAAGGCTACACTAGCCCACTCAGTGGAGCATAACCTTTAATTACTGCTGTCTCAATTAGCTCTGCAAATTAAATTCTTCATGTTTGAACCATGACTTTTCATTGAAAACAAAAATGAACAAACCATGTTAGTGAGGCCAAGAGAATTTCCTATTCTGATCAAAGTTACATCTGCTCCATTTACAACTAAAGTCAGGAGAGGCAGAGACGGCAAGTGAACCTTCTCCTAGTCTCAGAATCACTCATTAACATTTTTTAAAAAGTAATTATTATATTACTAAAATACATGACCTCCACCCCAAAATCAGATCCACCACATATTTTCGAGGAAAGGCCTGTCACCTTGGACTTAAAGGTCTTCTCCCTCCCTCACTTCCCTGCATTCCTCTCTCGTTTTGAGAGTAAGGCTTGGGGGAGAGCAATACTGCTGGCCGTGTTCTCAGAGAAATTTTGTCTTTTACTAATTCTAGCAAGAAACATCACAGATTTTATTTCAAAGGTTAGTCCTGCTAAAATGCAAGAACAGAAGCCTCTAGAGGAAGCTCTGTGTTGTCCACCAGTCAAATGATAACTAAGGAAGGGCCTCCACTTGCCAGATAAAGGATTGGAAACCAGACAGTCAGATTTCAAAGAGCCCGTGGGTCAGAGCCGGGGCCCGCCCTGTACATATTCTCTGGCAGACACGGAAATGTTTTCCTG